CTCTCTCTCTCTCTCTCTCTCTCTCTCTCTCTCTCTCTCTCTCTCTCTCTCTCTCTCTCTCTCTCTGTGTGTTTCCCTCTCTCTCTCTCTCTCTGACACACACACACTTCCTGAATACACTCGCTTCTCTCTCTCTCTCTCCTAGGACTACAGCTATGACTGCCGTCTTGGTTCTCAACATCCCTAGCTATGGTGCTGATCGCCCTCCTCCTTCCTCGATTGGCTCAACTGCCCAACTCGCTGGGTTGCACGAGGGCTACAACAGAGCTTCTGCATCATACGAATTGGCGAGGGATGTGAACAGGTACTGCAGCCTCTATAAATAGCTACAGTTGATGTTTTTTGTCTGCCAGTCCACAGAAAGATGGAGTGTTTGAGAGGACATGCCACGGAATGATGTGATGAGCTCGTCCACAGAAAGAACACCTATTTTTGTGGGCTGATAGTTGCAGTGATTTCTGTGTCGTGTTTGCAATCCTTGTGTAAATGTGTATTGTGCTGGGTTTGCATGTGTGAGTGTATGTAGCGGGGTGTGTGTGTGTGTGTTGTGTGTGTGTGTGTGTGTGTGTGTGTGTGTGTGTGTGTGTGTGTGTGTGAGAGAGAGAGAGAGAGAGAGAGAGAGAGAGAGAGAGAGAGAGAGAGAGAGAGAGAGTACTGACACATTTCTGCGATGTGTTGCAGTGGTTGTCTCCTATCGTCGTCCTGCTCTCCATCACATTGTGTGTGGTCTTTGGAGACCCACATGCTGTTCTGCCGTTCGTGATCTTTGGAACATATACAAGCTGGCTGTACCTCAGATTTTTCCAGACGAAGCCGGAAGGAAATCTGAAAGGAGATCCCAGCGAGGAGTTCAGCTTTGCATCCTTCTTCCCAGACTTATTGAGGTACAGTGGCAACATCGTTGTTCTCTTTCTTTGTTGAATGCTTTCCTTGCAGCACTATGTTTTTGAATGTTGTAGTTGAATTGAAATGGTTTTCACCTTTGCAGTAGAACCAGAGCTCGATCCCTAGATCTGCCCTGAACCCGTGTACAGTACACTTTTTGCCCCATCAATGTTTGAACCCGTGATCTGCCCTTAAAGTTGTCTGTCTAAGGGCCTCGCCACACCACTGTCGAAAGGCAAAAAAAATTGACGGCTGTCACAACAAATTCGACAGCCTCCATTCGACAGTCTGCCCCCCTTTAGCCACACAGCACTGTAGAGTGCACGCACTTGTGAAAGCAAGATGGAAAAAGACGAATGCGCCTGAGGGTACAACAAGCATTAGTCCATCCAGACCTTACCCCCACTCACCAAATTTCAAAGAGAGGTCGATGGCGCAGTCGAGGACTGTCGAGAGCATTGGAGTAGCAGGCTGGGGATTCAACACTTTCGACAGGAGGTGTCAAGAAGCATTCTCTGACAACTGGCGAATTTTCTTCACGTCTCCGACTTCGACAGCCTGTGTGGCAAAGAGAAACTGTCGAAAATCGCATCTTCGACCGTGGTGCGGCGAGGCCCTAAGGCCGTTATAGATACAAGGGTTGAGTAGGTTCGAGCTGCTTACCTCTAGGATAGGAGTCGTAGCTTATGTCTGGTCGTAGCTGCTGTAGGTCTGAAGGGTCAACCTAGTTGTAGCTGCTACAGTACCGAAAGGGCAAGTAGGAAGGTCTAGAGTCTTCTAGGACTGCCCCTTCGAGAGTCTGAGAAGCCGTCCGTAGGCAAGTGGTTAAGTGGACAGACTTACCAGGTCTAGTCAGCGGTACCAGTCCCAGTCGCAGCTCGTCCAGTCAGCAAGTAACATGTGGGACTGTGTGCACCCGCTCGGTGGGAAGGAGCAGACCAGCGACCAACCAAAGTATAAATCAAGAGGCAGTGTCCAGTTATTCATTCGTTCAGACTGTGAGCCATGCGGAAGCGCTGCCTGAGCGACTTGTGCACGGAGGTCTGCTAGGGCCCGAGGAAGAAGTGGGCTGAAGAGAGACGAAGCGGCCATAGCCGCTAGTTAGTGCTAGAAGTAGAACGTAGCCATAGCTGCCAGAGGTTAGAGATAGGCTACAGCGTGTTTGTGTATGAGTGTGCAGTGAGATGTGTGCGTGTGTGGGATATCCAGGGAGATCCGGAGTACCGTGTGTGTGAACAGTGCTGAGGATACAGAGTGGAAGGGTGTAGTGAGGGCGCACAGGCGCCATAGCCATTCGAAGGGAGTTGAATCTGAACTGTGTTCTTGGCCACGATAGTGGGCGCTCGTCGCCAGTGTGATTGCCATCTGTTTTCATGCATGCTGAGTAAGAAGAAGACGAGTCTGATTGCAGAATATGTGTGGGTTCCCTATTGTGAGCTGGAAAACTTAACATATTTGGACATGTACCCCTCCTCTTGTTGCATGCCTTCGCAGCCGCTTTGTCGTTACTCACCAATGCAGAGGACCACTGGCAGTTTGAAATGGTTGGGTTCCTGTGAGTCCCCAGATCGACTCAGAAACTCTGTCGACCTTATCCTTACCTGTTTTATCTTTTGCCCACTGATGATTTGATTTTCTCCAACAACTCGTATGTGTACCAGTCCCAGTGTTACATGGTTTTGCAGTTGTGGGTTATCCCTAACGTGAGCCCAGAAGCTCTCTCTCAGCAGGTGTCGACCCGCTTTATTCTTGCCCACAAGTTTGACATAGCTCCCTTCTACTTTGCAGAATGACACAGAATGTCTGATTGACGAAGGGCATACATTGTGGGACAATCTCGTGTCTGTGGGAATTCTGTGCAGGCCACTTGTTGGTGGGGTTGCTTGGGTTTTCTACAGACTCTTCTGCAGCAGAGCAGAAGCTTCTCCGACGGACGCAAACACAGGGTACATTCTTGGGGGTAAACCGCTCCCAGGATCTGATCCTGTGGATGCAAGCCGTAGAAGGTAAGCTTGCCATTCTGATTGTGGGCTCAGTGGATGTTGGGAATGGTTTTCTGTATGACTATTCCAGACCACTACCTTCTTAACCCGAAAAAAACGTACGTACCTTTTATTTTTCAGAATAAAATAAAAGCCGTAGAAGGTAAGCTTGCCCCGTACATTGTATTCGAATACAACGTACGTACGTTATAGAACGAGTTTTAGGGTACAACTTTTCAGAAGCCTGTAGTACCGCCATTGTTTTTATTTTTATCTCAAATTTGGTTGGGAATTTCGCCAAGACCCTCAGGCAAAAGTTGTTTGCATTGCGATGTTGTACAACATACTTTTTTTTCGGATTTTTTTACTGAAGTTTTTTTTAATCGAAATTCTGAAAAAATCAGTAAAAAACATTTTCATCCTCCTTTTTTTTTTTTCTCGAATTTTCTCGTGAATTTCGATAAGACCCTCAGGCAAACGTTGTTTGTATTGCATTGTTGTATAACATTTTATTTTTTTCGGATTTTTTTTGATTATTTTTAAAAAATCAAAGTTCCAAAAATTTGAATACAACATATGTACATATGTTATATTCCAACGTACGTTCTATTCGGGGAAAAACAAGCGATTTCTGAAAACCCGATTTCCAAAGGTAATTCGAATAGAACGTACGTGCGTTTTTTTCGGGTTAAGAAGGTAGTTCCTGGCTTTGATGTTTCTTTTTTATCTCGGCATGCCGGAGGTCAGGTAGAGCCTTGGTTCAGGCTTGGTAGAGGTGCGTATGAAAAATTGAAGAAGGGAAGACGAGGAGACAAGATGGGGCACTGGTATTCAGAAATGAATGGCAGGCGCTTTCACGTAGAAAAAGGGGCAAAACTTTGTAGAAGCAAAAACAAAAAAAAAGAACAGTGTGGCAGTATTGCTGGGTCGGACACACCTCTGCAATGTCTCGACAAGAAAGGATTCACTAACCACTGCCTGCACCTTTGAAAAAGGAGGGGGAGGGAGTGAATTATGCTCTGATAATGCGGGAGATGGACAACAGCATGAACACCCGGGGGTGGGGGGTTGGCGGGGGGGGGAGAGAGAGAGAGAGAGAGAGAGAGAGAGAGAGAGAGAGAGAGAGAGAGAGGATGCAGTTGTGTTTTGTTTTTTCTTTCTACATACTTGTTTCTGCAAGCAAAGCCACAACAGTTAATTTAGTCTCCTTTGGATGGAAGGGCATCTGGTCTTCTTGTATTTATTCTCCATCAGTGAAATCACTAGTTGCCGGATGTGAGCGTGGGGAATTTTGAAATGGTCATATGTAAGGCATTTTTTTTTCTTCTGATTAGCATGTAGACTATGAGCATTTCGCAGTCCCAGAGCTTGAAGTAATCTGCATCACTGGGAAGTGGAAATACATTGTATTTGCACCGTGTCTGTTAGTGATCTTTTAATGTGCTCATTGGCAGCTCACAAATGGTAGTGCCATATGCAAGGAAGCTGAGCAATAGTGAACTTCAGCAATCAAACAGCATCATACATATGAGTCCAGATAGTCTTGACCTCGAACCAACAGCAGAATTGCATCACAAGATTCACCAAATAAGAACACACCGAGAGTTTATAATTGACAATGCTGAAATAGTCCCATCATCATCAACGAAGAACCAGGGTTGATATCCTATCTGGCGCTCGGCGCCCAGACTACATGTGGCAGATCCTATCTAACCTATACTACGATGCCGAAAGATGACGTCAACAGCATTCCCGAAGTACAAGCATATGGCGACCAATGTCGCACGCTTCCAGCACCAGGTATGTCTCTCGCCACACTCACAACCTCGTTCCCCAACTCACAGATGCCACTAGCACCCAAGGACCACCCTGCGCCACACCCAGCTCACAGCGGAGCAGCTCGGCTATGGCTGCCCGCTCCTTCCTGCTCGCCCGTGAGAGCGTGAGTGCCAGCCAGAGAAATAGCGCAGCAGCGCTTGCGCAGCATGCAGCCAGCACCCGAATACCGAATGAGGAGGCAGGCCCTTCCCTATATCGAAGTGGCCTGCCTGTGTCGAGTCCCAGGAAGCTTCCAGTAGGCCCCGGTCGCCTGAGGCCCAGTACACACGAGAACAGGCCCTGGGCCTGAGGTGGTTGCATGTGCCCAACTGCCTGTGGCCTGTGTTCGGCCCGGTACCTGTATCCAGCCCAGGGCCTGCTTTCCATTCATTCACACAAGCGGCCCAGGGCCTGGCTTTCTTCAACCAACTGGCGCTGCGCAACTGCCTGAATTTCCTTAGCTGCACAGTAGCCGAAAAAGGGCCCTGAGGGCCTCGTCGTGCCTGCCTTCACTTAGGGCGGCGGACTGGCTCGAAAATAGGGGCTGAACGGGGCTCATAGAGGCATAGCCTCGCACATATATGGTTTGACGGAACTTTGACCCACATTTTGCTGCCTACTTGCCACTGTACAGAGATCCTGAACGCTTTGGCTACGAAGTGGGGCGGACATTTCCCTTTTTTCTTTCAGAGACAAAGGCTAAGTTGTGAATGCAACCTTACCACATTGGGCGGGCGCCGCCGGACGAAAATTGCTGGCGGTACCAGCCAAAACAAAAGAAAAAAGGTTGCGCTGGGTCCCTGGGCTACAAACCGGGCTGACGGGGTTGCATTGGTTCCCCGAGCGGCCCATATGGGTAAGGACCAGGAAAGGTCCCTTCAAAAAAAAGAATAAAAAATATCCAAATAGCCTCAGGGTGAGATCGAAATTCCTTACCACGGATGTGGCTGCTACGGGGTTCCCCGTAATACTATAATGGCAAAAAAAAAGGCCTGAAAGGCTGTCCTGTCTAGATTTGACAGGTAATTGAATTGGTTACGGGGTTCCCCTTAATACTATAATGACAATAAAAAAGGCCTGAAAGGCTGTCCTGTCCAGATTTGACAAGTAATTGAATTGGTTGGGCTTCAAAGTATTGGCCTTGAAAATAAATAAATAAAAAATTCCTTACCACATTAAACCGCCAGTACCTGACCATAGCCTTGCTTAAAAAGAAACTCGTAGCGTTCGGAGCCTCGACCTTCCGGACCACAATGGCTGACGGTGCCAGCCAAAAAAAGAAAAGAAGTCCACCGCTGGCGGTTCTGAAAACCTTGCCACACAGCAAGCGGCCTGTAGGCCCGGGTGTACTCGTGGTTTAAGAATAAGAAAATTCAAGCAGATGCCCATCACACACGCGGCAGGAATCACGAGAGGTAAAAAGGGGGAGAAAAACGGTCCGTCGACGATGACAGTTATGCGTATTCCCTACGCGGGTGACTGTACGTGGCCGGATGGCAGAAATGCTCCCTCGCCTCCTCTGCAATCAGACTTGCTTTCATTCACACTTTACATGTATGCAAACAGAAGCACAGCAAACTGGCGACATGCGCCCACTCAAAACTCAGAGATATGACAACCCAGATAAGAGTTCACTTCCGATGGCTATGGCGACTTAGCACCCAAACAACTCACTGTTCGCATACACCGGATCACCCTGGATATCCCACACGCGACTCTCTGAACACTCACTCACACACACACACTGAACATCAACTAAGATATGGCGGCTAGGGCCGCAACTACCCTATCGCTATGCTACGCTCCTCCTCTCTCGCCCACTTCCGCTCCGGGCTCACTGCAGACTTCCTTGCACAAGTCGCTGTGGCAGCGCTTCCGCATGGCTCACTCAGGAATGAATGAATGGCTGGGTGCTGCCTCTTGATTTATGGTCTGCCCTCTTCCGTCGGCCGATGGTGCTCACAGTCCCTCGAGGTACTTGCTGGACCGGACTGGGACTGACTGGACCTTACCGCTGACTGAATGGGGACTCGCTGCTAACCTACCGGAGTCGTACTGCAATTGCACTGCAGTTTAGTCCACCACTTGTCTCGCCACTTGACCACTTGCCCACTTGCCGACCTTCTAGAAGCCTACAGCTAAGACTTCTAGACTTCAATAAGACTTCTATGTGACAGATCTACAGATCGAACCCCTATCACCTATGGACCTAGGACAGCCTCCCAACTGTTTATGAATACACAGGTCACAGGTTCAACTCTCGGGGTCTACACAGGTACTGTACACGAGTAGGGTGAGGTCTAGGGATCGAGCCCTGGGATCTGCATCTGCTATTGCTAAGGGGTGAAAACCATTTCACCTCCATGGCCCAAAAAGAAAGGGAAAAACAATGCCACACCTGAAAAAAAAAAAAAAAGTCGAGCACTGACTGCAATTTTGGGCAAACATGGCGCTAAGTCCCACCAGCGGGGATTTGTCTTCATTTCGAGCATTTCGCAACATAGGCAAGCGTGGCCGTGAGATCTTCATATCAGACGGCTGTTATGAACTTGGTTGTCTGACATATTTTCTCGCCACTCACACACAAACAATCTCATACATGCCCATACATGCGTAAGAGAAGGGGAGAGAGGAGACAGAGTCCAAACTGCACACAGGTGAAAATAAGCAGCGGAAGACAATCATGCACAGATGGGGAGAAGACACAGTGTTTCTCACTCTCTGACACAACTCCCAATAACCAATCACAAGAAAGAACCTGCGAAGATCACAATTGAGATTCACACTGATGATGAGCCACTCAAACAATTATCGTAACAGAGTTTGTTCCAGTATCTCGCCACTCTCAGAACTCACACCCCATTCTCTATCCTACACCCAGTTAGTAGTGCCACATCAGATTGGCCTCCCAGAGGCCAGCGCCAACCACCCTGATGAAGAACAGGTCCTGCGATGAAGTCTTCAGTGCCGATGGACAACTCTGACGAAGGAACAGGCAGCTATGGCTGCCACCACCCACGAACAACCACTGTAGAGCCTCGATACAGCCCGGCCAGATGCAGATACCCCCAGGGGTAGATGCGCTGAGGATGCCTCAGCTATGGCAGACTCAGAGAGGGCCGGCTATGGCTGCTGTTACGGTGCGTCTCAGGATGCCGCCTCCCGACCAACACCGCCACAAACTTGCTTGGCTTCTCCAACGCTGCTCCGCGAGAAATGAACTGCCAAAAGTCCCGAACCCATGGGCCTCACCTATCTATAGACTACCTAGACCTAGACCGGACTGACTGACCGACCGGTACCGTTGCTGTTTCGGCCTCTCGGCCTCTACCGGACCCGGCTA